GCCTTGTGTTAGATTACCATTTCCAGCCTGATTGTTTAGGTTCACTCACATTACAAATTTAGTAAACAAATAAAAGCTGGTAGTTACTACTTCCCATCTGTTTCTTTCTTTCCTCTTTGTAATTTGCATTCACCTAAAAAGCGAAAGTAAGTTGTACAGTACTATCATAATGAATTGGATAAACAATTCCCCAAACAGATTAAAACTAACTGTAACTTGTAAAGAGTGGGTAGGGTATGTAGTAATTATATTTTATTAGCTGGCAAAACACCATTTTTTGCTTTCAAAGGATAATTCTATGTAAATCATGTTAATTAGAAGTGTCAGACAAACCTGTGAAGATCATAGTTAGCAACTAATTTCCTATGTATGGGTTATAATTTAAACCACATGGATCGCTCACTGTGTGGCAATACGCTGGCCATGAAATAATGTGGGGAGTGTCTGCTGAGGTTATTACTATGTAAATGTGTGATCATTTCAGACCGCTGCTGACTTGCTTAGTGAGTAAAGAGAATTCTGAGGTCTCCAAAGATTGTGCTCTTTGCAAGGGCCTGAAGCAGAAAACTTGAAAAGGTGTCGAAAAGTGTTTGAACTTTAAAGGTCGTGATTTCCCTTTTTCCATTTTTAATTTGCCAGCACTGTTTATGAGAAGGAAGTTTTCTCATTGCTTGTGGCCTCTTTTCCAACCATTGGGGTCGTAGCTCCTCAATGACTTGCCGTTTGAAGGGACAGGCAACAGAGTGCTTGACCATTACACAAAATACATTTGTTGGTGCATGTAGATTCTAATGTATTTCAAAACATAATTTCTAACAGCAGTTTTGGTTTCAGAGAGTTTGATATAGAAAAAAGAACTCTCAGAGTCACCACTGCGGTGGATTTAGAGTCCTTATGCTAAAGAAACCAATCTGAACTGCTCTTTGTATCTGACTTGGTAAAACTCAGCTCTGCAGCCAGGTCTGTAAGATTACATGTTATACTATATTAATTAATCTAGAATACCGGTAATTACTACTGCAGAAGAGATCTATTAGTGCTAATTTTCCACAGCCCTTGTGGACAGAATCAAAACACATGTTCAGAGAAATGTGGCATTCCTGCTCTTACGACATTTTTTGCTCAGCAATATGGTCTGTTTGTTATGTGTGACTCCTGACTTAGAACTGTAAAGGATGCTGTTGTTTACATTCCAGAGGTAATTGAAAAGATATGCGCTTCTCCTTTTAATCTGTTTCCAGATTTAAACTCCCCTTTTTTTTTCACTTGCAAGAGGAATCCTCCTAGAAACAGATTTCTCTGACTATGTGCTTTGGTCCTTAGTCTCCTGCCCAAATATTCTCAATATATACTGTAGCATTTATTTATGTCTTCCTTCCTGTTCCCAAGGAAGGGGAGGATTGGCTAATATTACAAAGCAAGCTGAGGATATTTGAGAAGACTATCAATGAGTTTAGTATGAAGTGATGAAATGAGGAGAGTATTTTTTCTCAAACATGATTTGGCATTTGACAAAAGAATCTGCACGAGGTTGTGGAGTTCTCCTTTATTTAGTTTCTAGATAGATATAGACATAGATAGATATATAGATACATAGCTAATTTGATAACAAGATTGCAAGGTTGTCACTAGAAGAAGGTACTGAGCCAGTGACAGCTTGTGACTAGGGCAAGGGGTCTGCCTCTGAAATGTTGGGATGCAGCATCCTTTCTCCCAGTCCACAAGCTGGCCTTTTACTAGCACTGAAGGTATTTATGCAGAGAATTAAATGGAAGTACATTTATATTCAAAATCAGTTAGGAAGCAGAGGTGCAGGAGGAGTTTTCCCAGCTTTTGTAATTTGAAGTGTTAAATTACATAATTTTTAAAACCCAAAAAAGTTTGAAGAACTATATAAATCAAACGTATTTTTTAACAGCATCCTGGAGCAGGTGTCCCCATGACTTACATCTTTCAAATCAAAACGAAATGGGAAGATAATTGACTTAATAGCACAGAATGGTATGGTGTTTCCACAGTTGCAAATTCTAAAAAAATGCTTTTTATATTGATAGGAATTGGCTGACATGGTATTAAATAGATAATGCTATGTAGTGCGATTTAGCAATTTCAAGTGATTCCTTCCATCCCTATGATACGCTTCACACACCTGCACATTCACACAGTCACATGTACATTTCCCTCTTGGCAGAAGGCTTGGCCACTTCCCTGTTCGTAACATTTAGTCTCACTAAAATGAGAAGGTGAAGAAACATTGTCCTCCTGTTTTTTTTGGGGGGGGGGATTCAGGTTGCAATGAAGAAACATCAAGCTTTTCTGTAAGGAGCAAGGGTTGCATGGGAGGATTGCAGTCTCTAGGAGCCAACACCTTCCAAGCAAACCTCTTTGCTTCGTTTTGCAACACCCAGCCATCTGCCAATGAAAGGCAGATTAAAGCCAGCCAAATTCAATTTCTACTCACTGCTGCCACAGCTCGACATCTGGGGCTAAAGTGTCCCCGACAAAGCGAACATGACAACCACATTGCTTTTTTGTCACATCCAGTAGCATGTTGATCTTCTAAAAGTCTCATAAAAATTTATTGATGTCTCCCATATTGCTGTGATGGGGGGGAAGTTCTCTCTCTCTCTCTCTCTCTCTCTGTGTGTGTGTGTGTGTGTGTGTGTACGTACGTACTAATGCTTCTGGAATAGATCTGATTTGATATGTCTTGTTCTATTGTCAGCATCTGTTTAGCAAGGCTTTTTAATACTTTCTGGCTGCCGATCAGTCATCCCTAGCTTGGGATGCCGACATGCATACAAATTTTATTATTAAGTACAATTCCTTCTCTCCCCACCATCCTCCTCCTCCCCTAACCACCCTCCCCTCCACCTATCCCCCCACCCACCCACCCATCCATCACAAACACACACACCCCAAGGCTATGGAGAGGGACCTCCAGCTGCGGAAGCCCTGGGTAACATATTTCAGAGCCTCATTTTTTTGCCTGTTGCAGGTGCTTTGTATCAGTAAATTGAATCATGGGGAAATCATTTATTTCCTAATGTTGTTTGTGGCATGTTAGTGAGAGAATTTACATGAGAGAGATTACTTTAATAACCAAAAAAATTACAGTGTGGGATCTCCCCGCCCCGTCGCCTTTGATATGTAATTGTTTCAAATTTAACCTGTCTCGAGTGAGGGTGAAAGGCATTATTAAATCTGAAGCATCTTGCTCCAGGGAGGGTGGGAAGGGGGAGGATCACCCTGGTGTGAACCTCCTTCCAGCCATTAAATAGAAATGGAGTGAAATTAACAAATCAACCAACCAAAAAAGGAAGAAATTCCTAAAGCCTAGAGGAAGGCTCTGTCTAATTTCAGTGCTTTTTTCCCCTCTCTCTTTTCCTCTCTCCCACTTTCTCTTCCTCTGACGCAATCATGTGTGAGTTCTAATGTTTTTAATTCCTGTGGACTACGTATTAATTCACTTCAAATGCTGTTTTCATGTTGGCTGAAATGTATCAAGCATGTCATGAATGGTGTAACAATGTTCATTTTTATTTAGAGGTGCAGTTTTCCTGGTAGGTGAGCAAGGGTGGTAATATACCTCTGAGTCATAATCTATAAAGACCCAGNCTTAGCCATCGCAGCTACCATAGTTGAGTATTTGCAAAATCTAAGAGATAATAAGAGGCCTGTCAGCTAAGATTGGGTGCCACCGTTTTTTGGCTCTTGCTTAAGGAGAAGCAGGCATTTCAGAAACTTCAGTTTACCTGGAAATGCACCTAACAAGATCATTGTTTTACCCCCAAATATCTAAGTGTTATTTTGAATCATACTTTGACCTATGAGAAACATGACCAAAACACAAAGCAAAAGGCCTCTGCAAGAAATAATATTCTTCCAAAGCTATCAGGAACCAGTCGGGGTGCACAATCATGAACACTTAGAACTACAGCTTTTTCCCTATACTACTGCACGGACAAATATGCTAGCTTAGTGTGGTGCAGTTCAGCCCATGCAATGGACTTATAATGTGTGTGGGGGGGTGCGTGACAATATCTACTTCTCAAAATGGATGGAACCCAGGAAAGTCTAGCCCCGATTACACTGAGAACTGGGTTGCCTGGAAGTCACTTAATAGACTGTAAACTGGAGCTGGCAGAACCAGGGTGAACCTATGGAAATGGGGCTTTTATATGGACAGAGCTCTTTGCAAGGGCAAGAAGAAAATGCACCTTCACTTCTATGTCAGTGTATTCTGTGCCCCTCAACACGCACTGTGGAAGATTTGATGCTAGCTTCTCCAGATGCTCTTGATGTTGCCTGTGTCTGAGCAAAAATGCTTTAGTCCGCCTCTCTGACACATATCAAAGAGGTAATGAACCCTTCTCAAAGTAAAAGAGCTCAAAGAGTTTTCAAAACCTGGAGCCAATCTAATCAGATGGCCTTATGATACTTGATGGTATATTCTGCTTATGATACTTGATGGTATATTCTCCCAAATGAATGAGTCTGATTCCATATTAGACATAGAAAGCTAAGTTAAGCTAGAGGACAGAAAACTTTGTGGAATAAGCAATTACACAACAACACCTCTTTGGTGCTGCAGCTTGGACATGGGTTTAGATGCTGGCAATGTAACATTGAATCTCTGCTTAGTTATAAACTCTGCAAGGTACTATTGAGTGTCACTCTCAGCCTGATTTACCTCACACACCTGTTAATGATATAAGGATAAAACAGCAATAATGCAACTGGAGATCTTTGCAGGAAGGATGGGATACAAATGTAGTATGTAAATATTTGGAAAGGGTGGTTAGGTATCTGTGCCCGAGTACTGTGCTTTCTGAGAGTGAGGGGTTTGTAACCCTTGTAACATTATGTCGATCTCAGTGGATCCTAGATCTTATATCTTTCTTTCCCACAAATAAAAATCTGTGATATCCCCATTGGAAGGTTCCCTTGCATACATTCATGATTATACTGATACTCTTTCCCCCCCTCTCTCTTGGCAGTAAGAACTCCATATTGAAGGATGTCATGGCCCCAGGCACTCCGAAGGTAAGTAAGACAAATTTAGTTACATTTGGTTAATTTATTTGCCCTATAAATATTTATTTTCTAGAATAATTTTGTCCTTCTTGCCATCTTCATGTCAGCTACACAGACCATGGTGTTCCTTGAGAATAAGTCAATCATACATCTTCATATCTGCATATGCAGGTGCATATGCACATGTGTATATACACATACATAGAGGGTTTCTTTATTGTGCAACGCAGGTTCTTAAAAGCTATTGCAAAGCTTAGACGTTGTAGAACAGATGAAAATGCAGCTTGGAAAAAAAGACTTTAGACTACAGCTCCCAGAATATCCTGAGAATTTGGCCAATTGTTTGTTTGCTGAGGGATTCCAGGAGCTGTTGTCCAAAATAGTAATTTTTCTAAGGCCTGGATTTGGCCCACAGGTTTCCATGGTCAGAGGATAAATGCTTGTAACTTCTGAATGGCCTTTTGGGTGCTCTGGTACTGAGAAGAAGGTTCTCATTTTGTGCAGTGCCAGGGAATGTTGGTAATGATTCTGTTTGGTCTTCCTCCAGTGTGCATTCTGTTAGGAGCTTTGAGTACAGGCTAAGAACCATTGTTTCTGTAGAAAGGTGTCTGCAGTTGTTTGTATTTCTTCAATGAGTTGATGATCAGTAGAGGTAGATGAAGTAGAAAACCCAGTTTGTCATCACATAACGACTGTTATCATAGCCTTTTTAGTTTTTGTGTGTGTGTCTCCGTGTGCGCACTGTTTTCTATACTGTGCTATCTTAGTGCTGCTCAGGCAGATCAAAAGCTGATTTTTTTTTCTGAGCCTAGAAACAAACACAAGAGAAGCAAGCATGCATTATGGGGCTGGGGGGGTGGCAAAAACAAACCTATTAAAAATCAAGAATTTTCACACTTGCTTTTGTGCACACAAGGGAGTTGAAAGGGCAAGAGCAGCATGAAAAGCATTTCTTGTCTAGCACATTTTGCCTGTGCTTATTGCTGGATGCAGATAAGTCATCTGTCCCAAACACCAAGCCTGATGAGGAGTTCAATAGGCAGATTAGCTGTTTGGAGGTAAATATAGCAAGTTAGGGATAGTCACAAGATAACCAAGAAAAGGCCCTTTTCTCCCAGCAGGAGTGAGTCTTTGAAGCTTCAGACAACAAAGAATCCCATTTGCTTTGAGTGAGGGGATTAAGGCAGGATAGCTGAGGGGTTCTGTGTAACCAAGATCACTCATCTGCTGCCACCACATGGATCCTCCCTCCCTGACTTACCCCTATCTAACAACCTTAAGAAGAGAGATCATTTGAATTCTTCTATGAGCCACTTGGCTTCAGAACTGTTGTTCTCAAGCGGCACTTGCCTGAAGAAGACGCTTGTATGTTGGAAAAAGTGCTGCACTTCTCAATAGGGAGGGCAAGAGTTTGATAGCCAGACTTTTTCAGAATAGGATAAGCACTTTTGGACTGATGTAAGCTCAGACTACTATTTCTAGCATTTAACTTTTAAGAAAGAAAAGAGGGGGGAAAGGCAAGGACTTTGGCTGAAAATGCCACCTTCCGACATGAAAGGTCTTTTTTCTAATCATTCTTGTGGGTTTGGTTTTTTTAAAAAAAATATTTTTCAAAATGACGAAGACAGTTTGCTCTTGGGACTCTGAAATTATACAATAGCAAAAAAATATATCTTGCATCTGCCTAGGGACCCTTTTATATATTCCAGGGAAGAACTTTGGCAATGATATAAAAAAGGCAAATTACCTCTGAGCAAATCATATAGGCGTAATATTATGAAGAGAAAATAAGGTAAATGTTACTTCTGTTTCTGGTTTGCAGGCCCTGGGTTTTAATTTTCAGATTGGGAATTCTTCCCCTCCTTTGCTTTATTACCAACTAAAACAAATATCCGGCTGTAATATTTGGGACACAGTTTGTTATGAAGAAAATATGTATGTAGATGGAAAGAGGGGTTGTTAATGGGAAGATGGTAGGGAACTGTGGAGACCAAAAGGGGTTCTCAGCTAATGAAAATGCCCTTTGTGCCTTTTGTGATTAGTTCATCTTAAGGTCTGTAAATATACAATAGTTAGCCTATGTCGGTGGTTCTTAACCTTGGGTTACTCAGGTGTTTTTGGACTGCAACTCCCAGAAGCCTTCACCACCACCTGTGCTGGCTGGGATTTCTGGGAGTTGCAGTTCAAAAACACCTGAGTAACCCAAGGTTAAGAACCACTGGCCTATGTCCAGGGCCTTCTTGTGCATCCATATAATTTAGATAGGTACCTAGGATATGATCCACTACCTTACCTATATGCACTTGCACACCCAGAAGGGAATTGGTGTTGGATTCAGGGGAACTTCCTTTTCTGCCAATTGCCAACCAAGCATTAGCCATAGACCCTAGACCCGACGCTCACCATGGAAACACAGGTGGTGTCGGTAGTCCGCTCCGCCTTTTTCCACCTTTGGCGGATTGCCCGGCTGCGACCTTACCTAAACACGGGGGCGTTCACTACCTTAGTACATGCGCTCTTAATCTCTAGATTAGACTACTGTAACACGCTCTACATGGGGCTCCCTTTGAAGCTGATGCGGAAACTTCAGGTGGTACAGAATGCGGCGGCCAGACTCCTCACTGGAGTGAGAAAATACCAACATATCTCTCCTACTCTGGCCATGCTGCATTGGCTGCCTATCTGTTTCCGCATTGACTTCAAAGTGTTAATGCTTACATATAAGGCCCTAAATGGTTTAGGACCTCGATACTTGGCGGAACGCCTGCTCCCACCTAGATCTACTCGGATCACCCGCACAAGACAGGAGGTGAGGCTGAGGAGCCTAACAACGAGGGAGGCCCGGAAAGAAAGGACACGAATCTGGGCCTTCTCAGCGTTGGCTCTTCGCCTCTGGAACAATCTCCCTCCTGAGATCCACGCGGCCCCCACCTTGGGCACTTTTAAAAGTCAATTAAAAACATGGCTATACATTCAGGCCTTCCCTCCAGTTAATATCTGACTTTTCTGTTTATTCTCTCCTTATGTATTTTCTATTCTATTGTTGTATTCTGTTTGTGTTTTTTTGTATTATTTCACTGTTTTTACTATATTGGAAGCCGCCTAGAGTGGTCTTTTAGACCAGATGGGCGGGGTATAAATCAAATAAACCAAATAAAAAATAAAAATAAACATACAGGAATGCATGTGTTAGTGTATGCTAGTTGTGATCTCTTAACAGAAGGCCTGTTAATTACCTTTATGCATACATATATGTGTACCTTTCATGCTCCCTGTACTCCACAGAGATCCTGTCTGCGCTTTCAGCTGTGCCTGTGGAAGGTGCTGGTATGGGTTGTGCCCATAATTTGAGTTAATTGTTTGAGATAAAAATTTAAAAGGTGCAGAAATATTGCAGTAAAAATGCTATTTAAATGGAAGATGTGCTTTCTCACTTATTCACTCATTCATTTCTTTGTTTTGACCATTGTATGTCTGTTTACATTAAACATAAAAGAATTCCAGTAGATGCATTCTGACAGACTTGAAAAGAGAGGCACTCCCCTTTCCCCTCATCCTACAGTGTTCCCACTGAAGTTTATCGGGATTGTCAGCAGTTATTCTAGCCTCTTTGCCAGCTGGCAGAGATCCAGATCCTTGCCTTTCTTTCTTGTGAAAAGCTCAGTGCTCTTTCTGCTGCCTTCTATCGCAGATGAGGAAAGAGGATCCACACATGTGATTGAGCGAATCTGTCCTTCTTCAGATGAAAAACAGTGGGCCCACCCACGCTGAACATTTGTTCAACTTTCCTTGCACTCATGATACGAGTACTTCTTCCTCATGTCTGTATGACACCAGGCTGAAACTAGTGTTAACTGTCAAAAGCAGGACAAAAAATTGCTTTTCCAGGTTTATTTTACACTTCCACCAGATGGTGGTGTATTTTTATTCTGCTTTGCTCCACTGCACAATCTGCACATACGGACGCCAGTACTGCTTTGAAGCATGTTGATCTGTGGGTGGGTGTTACTTGGTGAAGTTTCTATATGGATGTGTTTCTACTGTTCAGTCTCCACCCTGCTGGTCCCCACTGCTGTTCCTGCCTAGTTTTCTTGGGACATCAGGTGTTCCAGCATTCTCCCTTTATATCACTTAAAAAACACTGCCGGGAAAATATGAAGTTTGGGGAAAGTTGGGCAGGTAAAAAGGGAGGAAAGAATGAAGTAGTTGGGCAGAGGGAAGAGCTCTTCCTGCCTTCTGCTTTTTTATTTATTTATTTTAATATTAACACTTTTGTCCCAAAATACAAACATTAAAACTAAAAATCTAAAGCCAACTGTTTCCATTTTTAAACTAATGAAATAAGTTAATATTTGCATCCCGATCTTAGAGGCATATATAATAATGCTCATGTTTCTAGCAGATAAAAAGAGCACCAATTAGATATTGCAATGTCTATAAAGTTCTGAGGGACTCATCACAGTATGTTTACAAAGGTCCATTTTGTGAATTTTAGATAGTTGTTCTCCAGCTATATGAGCTGGTGAATGTGTGATCAACTTGTTAAATCTTTTCTGAATGTTGGAATCCAAGGGCCTCTCTGCTTATTAGGTAAAGGTTCCCCTTGACATTTAGTCCAGTCATGTCTGACTCTAGGGGGTGGTGCTCATCTCTGTTTCCAAGCCGTAGAGCCAGTGTTTGTCCAAAGACAGTTTCCCTGGTCATGTGGCCAGCACAACTAGACACGGAACGCTGTTACCTTCCCAACTAGGTTGGCAGGAGCTGGGACAAGTGATGGGAGCTCACATACAGTATGCTCCGCTTATTAGAGCAAGCTAAATAAGGTCGTTAGGAGGTCAGGTATGCCATTTGCTGCAGTCCTTGCATCTAAATGGCATGTGGGACCTCAAGCGACCCTATTTGGTCCACTTTTTAGAAGGGTGTATGTATTAAGCATATATACTACAAGTGATATTTAAGAGAAGTTTATTAGATAAAGTTCTAGTCAAGACCCTAGCGCAACCTAATAT